CCCTGCAATAAAAGCTGCATACTTACCACTCCAGAAAGCAGCAAGTGAAATCTTCACCGTCTTCATGAGCTCTGAGTTCCACTGCTATTAAACACTTTCAGGTTTGTTGGATAGCATATCCCCTGCAGTGCAAAGTGGCTCCTCATGTCAGTTGCTATGTCATTATAGGGCACAATGGCTGGGGGGAGGAGCCATGATGGGGGGCACATTCTGACACAGTCAAAATGTGTCTTTTAAAGTACCATGAGAACACATGTCAGATCCTATGGACTGATGAGCCACCTGAGCGATACCCTGCATAATAGTCTTAATCAGAGAGTAGGAAGCTAGTAGTCCCTGGAAAAGTTTGCAAGCGCCGAGATCTGCTCCTTGATGGTACTCAGGGCCCAGATGCAGACTCAGGCTCATGGACAATTCTCTGGGATGAAAGTTTATTTCCTTGCAATAAGTGGAGCACGCCTTCAATGTGTGATGGCAGACCATGCAGGAAATAAACTTTCTAGCATTTAGCTTTGAGGGAACTATCGGTCCAGAAATGCCTCAGTCCATCAAGACCTGGAAATTAACAGCCCTGACCTGTTAAAGCCAGTGACCATTAAGCAGGATGGTAAGCTGGTCCTTGGAAAAGTAGATGTGGATGATCTGGAAGAGCCCATCAAGCACGTGGTAGAAGTCTGATCAGGTAGGAGTGACACATCCAGTTGGGCCTATACGGAGTTGTAATGATCACTGGAATGTCCATTCTTGGGAATCTGTATGGCTATCTGTATGTCAAACATTATTGTTAGCCTGCTGATGAATAGATAAGTCATCTGAACATTGTACTGCTGTTATTTAGTCTGAGCAGATTGATAAGCAGGCAATGAGGGAACAGCAGTGATTATTGAGCTGCATATGAGCAAATATAGCTGCAAACCCCCATATGACCCAAACAGCTGCTCCACTCAGCAATGGCCGCACCTTGGGCTCCTCCCCCCTGCTCCTTATTGGCCACACTCTCCTGTAATCTGTCCGTGTCTCACTCACAGCATTTGGTTGCCAGACAACACTCTTTACCTATCCGTTCCTAAATACCCGTTATTGGTCCATCTTCTTCTAGTGGCACTTAAAATAGGCCCTACAACCAAACCTTTTGACTACCTTTCTGTTTGCGGACTGGACTGACAACCCGCCGGTTTACAGACAACGTCCATGTCTGTTGCCTGGACTGACTTTTGCCTGTTTATTCACCATGTCTCTGCCTGATGTATAGACCAACTTCTTGTTGTAACCCTCTGACTACTCTCCTGCTGAGGCCCCTGTCCCTGCCATCCTTTGTGGACATCTGTATCTTGGTGAACCACACTATACATTTTCAAAGTAATTCATTAAAAAAAAAGGCTTTTGTTTCCCTTTAAATGTCTGTCATATTGCAAGATTTGCTTTAATGAGGAAATTTAACTTTTATTTCCAATATACCCCCTTACAGTTCAGCAATTAACAGCAGAAATGAGAAGAATATGAATGCCAGGTTGCGTTATTGCTGAACTGATAAGGTGATCATTTTTGGTCAAAGGATTAACAGGTTTCCATTTAAGCCCCTGGTCCTACTGGCAAACAAAGCATGAGCATATGGAGCTTGATGTGCCAGAATTGTCAGGCTCATAATTAACTGATTAGAATACATATGGCGTTCTCAGCCACGGTAAATCACTCTAACATAAAAAACATGGGGAACTATTCAATGTGTCAGCATGCCTACCCCTGCTCATTAATGTTTCAGAGAAAGCCCAAACAGGTTGAAATAAAAGGACTATTAATGTAATTATATTTACAGGGAATTCTCCTTCCAGGCAGCTGGGCCGCCTTAGACAACCCCTGCTTTGTACAGGTTCCCTGTCTAGCGGTGGAAGGAAGATGTTCGGCGGGTTCTAGGCTCTCTGCAGCCAGGATGTCAGCACAGCGCTAGTGAAGTGCAGACTGTCTGCTGTGTGAATAGTGAATAGTGAATTTGTTGACATTGTCTGTGTGAGAAAGAAAACAAAAGAGCCTTCACTCTGACAGCACAAGCTGTTGCTGTACATCACAGGCAACCCACTGACTTTCCATATCCTTTCATAGTATATATAGATGTTCTCTATTATCAAAAAAGAAAAAAGAAATTGGGCTATGGAAGATATCACATTATCTTAGAACTAACCCTTGGCTTTTCTAAACAATATTGGGTGGTCAGTTTTTTTTTTGGGGGGGAAGCTTTCCTCATGTTCACTGATGCCCATACAAGCAATGAGGGGAGAGGGAGTGGTTGTCACCGGAAACAGAAGGCACATGTAACAATAAAATGATCAGAAGTTCTAACATTTCCTCACCAAAATGAAATATGGGTTTTTCTCTGTGTCTCCATTGGAGAGATTTCCCATCTCTTTTTGTCCTGACCGGGAGATAGAAGATTCCCCCCACCCACAAAAAAAAGGAACACAGACAGCAAAGAAATCTCAGATTTATCTATGAAGTATAAAGTTTTGGCAAAACCAATAGGTACTGTAAAAAAAAGAAAAAAAGAAAACAATCCATAAAGTGAGGGTAGACGCTAGCTCCATTCTTCCTTTCACCTTCTGGTCTATCGCAGAGAGGCAGCGGGTCATGTTATACAGTGCAGTGTCACACGGACATACGCTGTTGACCTGTGTCCATTGTAATAGCCGTAGATAACCTGATGCTAGCTGTACAGTTCTAGTGTAGGGTGATATTACTTTCCTGTCACACCAAAGGGTAACATTTCACCCAACATAAGTTAAAGAGAGGGTAAAGCTATCCCTCTCGTTTACTCCAATTTCCTTTAGCATAGGATACGGTAATGCAATCCTGTTCTGATTGTGATCTACAAAACCTTAAGCTGAAGTGTAGTTTTTTGGGTATATAGAATCAGGGACTATAATGAAGTGTATCATGTCTTGCTGGCTGTTGCTTAGTATAGAAATCTTTCCCTCGGTAAGGCCAGATACAACCCACAGTGCTTTTGGCACTGCTGGAGTAAGATCAGCGGCTGCCACTGTGAACCATCAGCACCATTCATCCTCTCCTTCCCCCTCAATCACCCATTCACAGAACTCTTAGTATTCTTTCCCAGAATGCAAACTGATTTGGGAATGGAAAAACAGGCAGATGAATTAAAAATTCCACCTCCTCCAATCACAGAACACTTTCCATTCTGGGAAAGAATACGACTTCTGTGAATGGTTGGGGCTGCCAACATTGATGGTTCACAGTTGCAGCCGCTTATCTTAGACCCCACAGCAGTGGAAGATCAGCACTGTGGGGAGTAGCACCAATCAAGGAAAGGTTTCTCCATTAAGCAGCAGCCAGCAGGACATGGGACATACTTCATTAAAGGTAGGTTATGTCCCTGCTGCTGCCTACCAAAACAAAAATTACCTAAACTCTACCTTTATGACTTCACCAACATACACGATGTTGTAAATTATGATTGGAATAGATTAGGTAAGGGTATATTTAGTTTGTATGCTCATGTATTTCAGGAAATTCTTTTGGCTGATGTTATTTAACTATGCTAACTAGGTTTTTATTGTGTAAGTTTATTGACCAGTTGACCATCCTGTTTTCTGGGTGTTGATTTTACACAAAGGAACAGCTGTAGGGAATTTTGTTAAAACCTGTTAAGTTAACCAACCGCAGAGGGGTAATTAGACCAGCCAATCAGAAGTCTTTTCAGTGTTAAGGTGCTCACACATCTTACGATAATCGTACGATAATCGCGGGAAATACCTCGATCATATGATTATTGTAAGGTGTGTGGGAGCCTTCTATCTTAGGAACATGTTCGAAAACCCGCCGAGAATCGTACGATTTTCGGCGGGTGTGTGGCATGTTCGTAAGATAAAAGCCAGACGGGCCGGTGTGCACAAGCGCACACTGCCCGTTAAGCATTGCGGTCATCGGAAGCCCGCCCCTCAGCGGGCGGGCTTGCGATCATCGCAAGTACGATCTGCCTGTCCAAGATAGGCAGATCGTACGTTTTTTAAATTACCTTACAACCATCGCAAGACTAAAGTCTTGCGATGGTTGTAAGGTGTGTGCGACAGCATTAGTGAATGTCTCTAAACTGTATATGAATTGAGAGCGTACAGTGGCTAGAAAGAAGATAAGAGTCATGGAGAGGCACAGAGGTGCATATATAGATTGAAGATATGTGCTGGGTAGGTAGAGTGGGTCATCGTGGAATCTTTGTCACCTGAGGTCTAGGTATTTTATTTTATTACTCTGTCGGACTGTTTCTGTTCATCTGTTACTTCGATCCAATTAAACGCTACTCTCTGGAAAAGAACTGAGGTTGCCTGGATTTTCACAACGCACATAAATATATATTTGGGGGATATAGATAGATAGATAGATAGATCTATCTATCTATCTATCTATCTATCTATCTATCTATCTATCTATCTATCTATCTATCTATATACACCCCAAATATATATTTATGTGCATACATACCGCTGTATATTATATCGCTACACACGACACCACTCACCACTACTGAAATTAAGTGCACATGTCCAATTTAGCACCATACCTGAACAAATGCAAACGCTGCTGTTGCACCGATGTGCACTTCTTCGCCATCCATCACTGAACTGGCACAGAGTTCCCTGACTACACTGACACACAAAACCTCACATTTGCGCATTGAATAATAACTTATGGAGAGATTTAAAAAAAAAAAAAAAACAACAACAGGTACCTAATGGCACAGCAAATGCAGCAAACTGACAATGCACATTCAGACTTCTGTAACGACACTGCCTGAAAGTGAACTGATCACATGAAAAGACATGGCAGTAAGGATAATACTATTTTGTTATCTGTATAGGAAACCAGAACAAACATAATACAAAAAAATACACATTTGTTTGCAAATATTTCCACTAGGTAAAGATGAAGACAACATAGAAAGAAAGGCTAGTGTGTTATAGCTGTAGTCTTGCTTTCCAATAACTAATTACCTCCATCTCAGCATTGTGCCCATGAACTTTCTGCAGGATTTCTTCAGCCTCACGGAGACGGCGGCTGAGCTGAGGAGTATGTTCAGATGGGGTCAGCTCGCTGTCATAGGAATCCAGTATTGCCCTCATTCCATCTCTTTCCTGCACATGGTGCCATGCAAAATAAAATACAATTAAGATCAGGCAGAGAATAAAAATTGGAGCACAAAAACAATATATACAGTCAGGAATGGTGAGCTAGCCCCTGAGCAACTTCAGAGAAGTTTACGCCTAAAGGTTCAGTCAAACAGAAAAGATCCCCAAGAAAAACAGATTTAGGGAGCCAGCCTACCTCCTAAATGGTTTGAACTTTAATTCTGCCATTTATGTCCATCAACTCACTATCCTGCTTGCTGAATCCTTAAACTACAACTAAAAGCTCATGTATGAGAGTCTAAACAAGTACCTAATCCAGTTACTATGTGATTAACAATCCTCAAAGTATTATATCAAAACTCCACAGGGCTAATAATTCCAGGTGGTCTGAGACCTAACCCCTATTCCTAATCCAATCAACAACAAAATACATTTGTATCTATGGGGCTTTAAAGGGTGTCAGACTCCAATTTCAAGAAGTAGAAATATTAACATATTTAGTTAAAACCAGCATCAGCAGCATTAAAAACAGTATTGCAAAAACAATTCCCTCAATTCTGCCTCCCACTGCCACATAACTCTTATATAAGTCCGTGTGTAGCTTCCATTACACTTATTTCATTTGAAAATGATGCAGTCCATCTTTGTAAATGATGTTTGTTTTTTTTTAGCTTATTTCACTGTGGCAGATATTTGTTGACTTCCAACGCGTTTCACTGATGCGCTTCCTCAGAGAATATGAGGCAAGAATATCCTGAGACGTTTAGAAACAACTCTGAGCAGACGGGCGGGTACAAGAAGTGGACAATATATGGAAGGAGAGCATGAGGAGAAGCCAATATCCCTGATTTGAAATGTGGACAGATGTAAGTTTAAAACAATCACTGGCAACGATTACCGCATGGTATATATCATGCAAATCGAAAAATAACTCTACAGTCCATATATCCCTGTGGTCCCACCGCACCTGATCTAGGAGGTGGAGGGCTAATAGATCCCCACGTTTCAGAGTGTATCCATGCTGGTTTCTAAACGGGAGAGAGCTTGGAGCGGTAACTACTATACAACACACACAGGGAGCATGGGGAATAAAAGTAGGCACCCTCCAGAAGGAAGGACAGTGTCAGCACCAATTCAGAGATGATTGGAGCATCACAGCCGAGTTGAGTGTCACTTCTTCAATAGATCGACATATTCTCTGCATTCTCTAGCCACAGACCTAAATATTAAGCAACATAATAGTGCTTGGAATGCATTTTGAAATATGTTTTAAATGTTTAAACTTGAGAATATGTGATTTGGCAATGTCGCCCTATTGATTTACGTGAAGTGTGATTTTTATTGACAGGTCCACTTTATCCGACCTGACTGTTTTCAAAGAAAATGTTAAATGAATTGTGCTGTATACTGCTAAACACTGGGAACATATCTCAGTCATCACCAGTGGACAGTTACATGACAGTATAAAACATCCCTATCAGCTAAAATTGCACTGTCAGAAATTACACGCCGATACTATGACATGAGGCTCCAAGTGTCAGTTCTATTTAACACAGACAGAAAAAAGCTGGATCGGTATTGTTGATGTTTTGGGTTTAGCCTGAAGAACTTTGCAGCAAATATCATTTTCTAGAGCTCTCCGTCCTACATTATGATACTTCCTGGCCTGCATCCAGACACCGCCTGTTTTACAGCTAGCGAAGATCATGCTGGCAATAGATTAAACCTAGATTGGACCTATTTAACAAATGAGCCCTACTAACATTTTAGTGTTACTTTGCTTTACAATCTGTCATTTTGCAACGCTGCGGATCTGGAATTCAACCAAACGGCTCCTGCATTCCTTTTAATCTGCACTGCATCACGGCTATTGCCAAATGAGATTTCGCCAACGCAATCTCTGATAAACAGACAGCTCGGCTGCTGCTTAAAGAACCAGCACACCTAAGCCACAGAAGTTACAAAACTTAAATGACTTGAAACGGCTTCTGATATCATTCACTACACATGTAAAATCCCCAAGCTTGCACGGGAAAACATGGCTGGCAATTGTATAATTATGTATAAATATGCTGTCCCGCTTGTTGCTCCATTGCATTGACCTATGTTAAGAAAAATTACATGAAAATATTAAATGAAAATAGATAGTAGTGGGTTTTTTGGTTTTGGTTTTTTTTATGGGATGCCTTTGACCTTTTATACAATTTTTTTTAACCTCCAAGTAAAACATGACCGGTTCAGGTATAATGTAGCACCCTAGACATGTAGTACATTTAAATGATCCTTATGTTGTTCATACCAGTCCCAGACAGGAAGTTAGGAGCTTACTGGATTTCTGGCAGATCAGTACTTTTTTATATTTTTCTGCAGCTTTTTAAAAGAGACAAAACATGGTGAAGTGTACATTTCAGAAATGTACTAAAAAGGACTAAAGACAGAAAACAGTAGAATTTGCATAAGCAAGCTGACCATACGGAGGGCACAAGAGCAATCGGCACAGGTTTATTGAGGGCTTGTTCACAGTGGTCCAGTCAATTGCAGTGCGTTACATCACGCAGTAACATGCACAGTATTGTCAGCCTAATGAAGCACAAAGAATCTAAAATCTTAATCTTACATGCAGCATATTTTGCATCGCAGCGTACCGTAATGCAAAGTAGTGTGAAACCATGCATTGAAGTGTGCTGCAATGCAGATACACTGTAGAGGTGCATTGGCGTCCCATTTTAAATCAGTACACAAACAAATGTAATAATGTAACAACCGATGTTTCATAGGAGAACTATGAGGCGAGTGATTTTGACTCATCCTCATAGTTCAAGCCGACATGTGACAATTAAACTGTCACAGGTCGGCTCTATAGATCGGGAATTGAGCGAACACATACCGTCGCTCACTCACTTTCCGATCATCTCCATGTAGAGGGTGGTGACTTTTAGTCACCAGTCCCTGCAGGGATTCCCCCCCCCCCCCCCCACCAGTGCTGAGTTGAGGAACGGACAAAGAAGGGGAGGGCACAGCTGGGATAAGCAGAGCCCACTGTCACTCAAGCAGCTTGGTGGATCTCTACAGCATTATCGGGTTCTCAAAGCTTGCGACCCATATACTGAGCTTTGGGTCATGGGAGGATGTTAGAATATGTTCTCCGGTGACCTTTAACTATAAACTATGGGTGAAACATGGGATAAAAAGGTTACTCCATAGTTCTCTTTTAATAAAACCTAAATGGATTAATTTAGAAAAAAAAACAGCTTGACCATTCCACTATCACTTATTGTCTATATGTACCCTAAATGACAGCAGGAACAATACAGCAAGGATACTGTACTGTATTACTAAGCAGGAAGCAGAATCTGCAGATGTAATTATAAAATGTGGTTGCTCCCATGATCATATATATTTACAAATCAAGATTTTAATGTATAGACAGCCTAGGTTATATGCACTAAGCTGATCTTACTGTCATGAATACCTTTATTTAAAAAAAAAAAAAAAAGCTACTGATTATATAGGCTTTGAATTTCAGCAGAACGCTAGATGAATGAAGCCCGTAGCTGTATTCCAAGTAAGTTATCATAGTGATGAATGGGGCGCTTTCTTGTGTACGAAGAGCCCAGGTTTTGCTGCATCAACAAGGTTGAAGGAATTTTACACATATTGCCAACAAGACGAGACTGCCAAAAGCTTGCTCTAGCCTGTCTGGGGTAGTGAGTTAAAGATGACTTTGATGATCTAAGCTTGGAGAAAGCTGTCAGATAAGTGACATTATCAAACTTATTTACACTTTACAGGCTTTGTGTTACACTCCCTGCTACAACACCAGTCCCTGGTGGATTTCACACTGTCGTCACGCCGTTTTGTTTTATTCCCGCAGTCAAGGGTGATCATGAAGCAGTTGTAATCTAGACAATAGAGCCTATTTTCCAGTTATCAACATATACTGTCATCTCTTGGATGGAGAGTGTGTATGGTGGGGTTCCCCTTCCTCTAAAACCAAGTCACATGCCGTTAGAAGGAGCCTTTCTGCAGAGTTCAAGCAGCAGGGAAGTGCAAATAGACCGGCCATCCAAGGGGGTTACATGCTAAAAGCGAAGATGGGTCGATCTTTATGATTGTATGTTATGAACAGACAACTTCTGCTAGATTCACACAGAACACAGTGGCTTAGGGCCATGTCACATAAGTGATTTTGTTGCAGCGATTTGTAGCAGCTGTAGAATTGCTCTCATAGCGTTTTTGTGGTTAGGAAACATTGATTTGCAGTCAATGAAAGGTCTGTGTCATGGTGATTGCAGCGATTTGTAGCTCAGCTGCTGAGTACTTGACTTTTTGCAGCATTGGAAGCTTGTTGGAGAAAAGCCAGCTTCAGTGGTTACTCTTGTTATCCAATGGAACTAAAGAATTATATTGAATTATCAGAGAGTTACAGCTGCATAGACCGGTACGTTTGTAGCTGCTACAAATTACCCAAAGTGCCAGTGGTTAGCATTCATGCTTTGGAATGCTGAGGATCTGGCACCAATTCCGACCAGCGCCATTGTCTGAATGGAATAAATGCCATGCTTTTGTGAGTTTCTAACATTAAGCATACTAGAACGGTGGTAGAAAATTCCAGCACTCTAGCTGTGGTGAAACTACAAGTCCCATGAAACATTGCCAGACTGACAGCCAGATCGCTTCTACCGGCCGGTAAAGTGCCGCAACTCTGGTGTCGGGGGAAGGTGGGCAGGAGAGCGGCGAACGTCTGTTCACCAATCTCCTGCCCATTTTATGGGACCGGGAGCGATGCAGATTACATTACTTCCGGTCCCATAGCTGTCAGTGCTGGGCTCCTGAAGCCCAGCAATAACCCATTGAAGTGTGATCTGCACTTCAATAGCTTATTTGTAGTGGAAAGCATCACCTTAACCCCTTCGTGACTGACGACGTACAGTGTACGTCGCCAGCATCGGGGCTGTTTAAACAGACTCCTGGCGACTTTTGCCGCCGGGAGTCTGTTTAAACTT